TGAGTTACCTTAGTGAGCAAGATTTGGAAATTATGGATTGGCCACCGCAAAGTCCTGACTTAAATCCAATAGAAAGTCTTTGGAAGACCTTAGGAGTGAAAGTTATGGAAAGAAATCCCACCAACACGGAGGATTTGTGGGTGAAGCTTCAAGAAGAATGGTCTAAAATTAGTATCGAGGATTGTCAAGAACTGATTCGTTCTTGTAGTTGAAGATGTGCAGCTGTCATTGAGAGCAAGGGCTCATTTACTAAATATTGATTGTACATGTATTTTTTTATTGTTTTTTTTTGCCGTTTACATTGTTTTTTTCTCAATTTTGTCCCTTACTTTTGGACGTTCCAAATTTGAAAATAAATAAATAAGTGTTATAATTCTTTTCTATCGTTTGCAAATGATTCAAATTTTAGTATGTTATTATGGATGATAACGACTACCAGTTGTCAAAATTTCAGCTTTTCACAGTTGTTGTTTCTAACAAATATTAGGTTTTAAAATTTTGTCCCTTAGTTTTGGACGCTACTGTATATATATATATATATATATATATATATATATATATATATATATATACGGAGTTTCATGCACAACGATATAATAATAATAATATAATGATTACGCGAACGTAAGAAGTGAATAAATAGCAGAAAAATATGTATATGTATTACTATCAACCTGCGCATACTAGAATTCTCACGAAAGAAAATGTATAGATCGAATCAGCTTCATCCTTTGTAGGGGAAACCACTGTTTTCATTGGTTCTGCTTTATGAATTGTCCACAGACAGTGTCACAGTTCAACAAGGCTCCATTTTGGCTTTTCACTGAAGGCACACTTATGCATTCAGATAATTTTCTTTTTTTCGTATCTGAAATGTAAACTAAGCAATTTGTAAATAATTAATTAATTTATTTTTAATCCGAAATGTTTATTACTGCAAATATTGTTATATAAGTTACTCGTATTTGAAATAAACGCTTCATTTTTATTTTTATTTTTTTAAAAGTATCTAAATGAAGAAGTATGCTTTCACTAAAAAGGGAAAATAGAACCATGCTGAACTGTAACAATCTTTGTAACCGAACGGTAAAGCAGGTTTAATTTCTTTTTTTTTCTTTTTTTTCTCTTAAGCAAAGACGGGACTGCCACTAGCATGCACGTCATTACAGAGAGTGAGTTTAAGAGTAAAGAGGGGTGTTCGAGGAAAGGATAAAGAGAAGGACAGGGATCAAGGACAAGGCATCGGAAGATGTCGATTGATATTACACTTGAATATTTGAGGATTATAGCTATCAGGGAAGCAAGTAAGAGGAAGGGAGTTCCACTGACGCCCTAATCAAGGCGCGAGTACCACTAGCACGCAAGGGGTTACAGAGTATGAGAGTAAGAGTAAAGAGGAGAGTTTGGGAAAAAGGATAAAAAGAAAGATGGGGATCAAGATCAAGGCGTCAGAAGATGTCGATTGACATTACATTTGAATATTTGAACATTGTAGCTATCAGGGAAGCAAGTGATAGGGAGGGAGTCCCACTGACGCCCCAAGCGAGGCGGGAGTGCCACTAGCACGCAAGGGTTTACTGGGAGTGAGTGTAAGAGTAAAGAGGAGTGTTTGGTAAAAGGATAAAGAGAAGGACAGGGATCAAGGTCAAGGCTCAAAAGATGTCGATTGACATTACATTTGAATATTTGAAGGGAAGGAAGTAAGAGGAAGGGAGTTCCACTGATAGGAGGTGCGAGATAAGAAGCTGTTGGAGTAGAAGGGATGGCTACATTTAGCCGCTTCGACAGTGAAAGGGTGGGACCGAGATGCCAAACTAGCAGCCCGCTTAAATTCCTGCAGTTTGGGAACCAGTGAAAGTAGCTCTTCGGAGCAGATACCATGAAAGTATCTGTGAGATAACGGATTTTGTCTGGGACCTCGAGATGAACAGCGGTAGCACCAGTATGGCAGCAGTATTCCATGCAAGGACGAAGAAGTTGATTTGTAGATTGGAAGAATGGACTCAGGCGAGAAAAACCTTCTGGCGCGACACAGAGAGCCAACTTTCCTTGCGGTAGATGAAGCTATAGATTCAATGTAGTTGTTCAACCTCAGGTCAGTGGACAGCGTGAGACCAAGCAGTGTATCATAAATATAGCATACCTTAAAACTATATTTCTTCATATATCCGATGCAATGAAAAACGAATATAATATATAAATTCTAACGTTCACGGCATTTATCCAAAAGAGATAATTATTTTATTTATGCATTTTTCATATATATATATATATATATATATATATATATATATATATATATATATATATATATATATATATATATACAACAGTTATTGGTCAGAGTTGAATTAGACCAGGAAACAGTTGCATTAAAAATGTGTTCAATACACGTATAAAGAAATTAAAAAATTTAACATGACAAGCTCTTAAATTTAAAAAATAATGACGTCAGCCAATCACACAAACCATGTTTCTAAACTTCCGGTATCCTTGAACG